GCGCCCTCACTGCCCTCTACAGCTTCGTGCAATGCCAAGCGCTTCTTCAGAGCATTTTTGCATGTGGTTTCATTTTGAGAGCAGTTGCGAGCTTTCGCCCAGGCTTGTTCCATAGCTGTTACCAGTAGTCCGAAAGGCATGTCACACGGCTAACTCGATGCTAGTACCCTCAGACTTCATGTACCCATGTAGTAGGCACTTAGGCCGTAAAGGGGTGCCTATACAGGTACTTTACGGCCTCAGTACCGACTATATGGGTACATGTTGCCTTTGGGGTAGTTGGCTGTAGTTGATCGGTTGCTGTAGGCCTTGAGAGGTCGAAAGGATTTCGGCTTTGAGGCTTTAGGTCTTTCGGCATTTGGGGTTCAGGGGAAGGAGATGCTCTGTATCGATGGAGTTAGGTGAACACTGTTTTCAAACTACTTGGGACGAAAAATTTAACAATATACTTGGAGCTGTGTACCGGCCTTGTTCGGCTACGACGTTGTGTGCATGCAGGTACGCATGACGCGCGCACAAACATATAATCTATGTTCAACCTCCGGGTTTTCTTTGATGAGGTGCAGAACAGAAGAAACTCACTTTCATACTCCCATGAGTTCATGCATGTACCGCGTGTTGCGTGGATATATGAACAATTCTCTCTCTCTCGGTCTCTCTCTCTCTCTCCCTCTCTCTCTCTCTCTCACTCTCTCTCTCTCTCTCTCTCTCTCTCTCTCTCTCTCTCTCTCTCTCTCTGCTTGTATCCGCCGACCCCTGCGGGCGGCGCCTGTGATATCCCGAGAGGTGTCCGCACCCACACCGCTTCCTCCGCCTCCACCGCTTTGTTCAAAGAGTCTTTCGCCGCTGTATTTGTAGGTGTTTAAAGAGTATTTCAAAGCCCCCACCGCCCTCACCTGCCTATGTACCAGACTGCCCGCACCGCCTCCACTGCTCTGTTCAAAGAGTTTTCGCCGCTGTGTTTGTGGGTGTTTAAAGAGTATTTAAAGGCTGCCAATGTATGCCCGGACCCCCCAGCGCCCCCACTGCCCACACCGCCCCCACCGCCCACACCGCCCTCACCTGCCTATGTACCAGACTGCCCCCACCGCCTCCACTGCTCTGTTCAAAGAGTCTTTCGCCGCTGTATTTGTAGGTGTTCAAAGAGTATTTAAAGGCTGCCAATGTATGCCCGGACCCCCCAGCGCCCCCACTGCCCACACCGCCCCCACCGCCCACACCGCCCTCACTGCCCTCACCTGCCTATGTACCAGACTGCACCGCCCACACCGGCCTCAGCGCCCTCACTGCCCTCACCTGCCTATGTAACAGACTGCCCCCACCGCCTCCACTGCTCTGTTCAAAAAGTCTTTCGCCGCTGTATTTGTAGGTGTTTCAAGAGTATTTAGAGGCTGCCAATGTATGCCCGGACCCCCCCGCGCCCCACCGCACACACCGCCCCCACCTCCCACACCGCCCTCACCGCCCTCACTGCCCTCACCTGCCTATGTACCAGACTGCCCCCATCGCCTCCACTGCTCTGTTCAAAGAGACTTTCGCCGCTGTATTTGTAGGTGTTTAAAAAGTATTTAAAGGCTGCCAATGTATGCCCGGACCCCCCCGCGCCCTCACCGCCCACACCGCCCACACCGCCCACACCGCCCACACCGCCCACACCGCCCCCACCGCCCACACCGCCCACACCGCCCTCACTGCCCTCACTGCCCCCCACCGCCCACACCGCCCCCACCGCCCTCACCTGCCTATGTACCAGACTGCCCTCATCGCCTCCACTGCTCTGTTCAAAGAGACTTTCGCCGCTGTATTTGTAGGTGTTTAAAGAGTATTTATAGGCTGCCAATGTATGCCCGGACCCCCCCGCGCCCTCACCGCCCACACCGCCCACGCCGCCCCCACCGCCCACACCGCCCTCACCGCCCTCACTGCCCTCACCTGCCCCCCACCGCCCACACCGCCCCCACCGCCCTCACCTGCCTATGTACCAGACTGCCCCCACCGCCTCCACTGCTCTGTTCAAAGAGTCTTTCCAAAGAGTATTTAAAGGCTGCCAATGTATGCCCGGACCCCCCAGCGCCCCCACTGCCCACACCGCCACCACCGCCCACACCGCCCTCACTGCCCTCACACCGCCCACACCGCCCTCACTGCCCTCACCTGCCCCCCACACCGCCCACACCGCCCCCCCCGCCCTCACCTGCCTATGTACCAGACTGCCCCCACCGCCTCCACTGCTCTGTTCAAAGAGTCTTTCGCCGCTGTATTTGTAGGTGTTCAAAGAGTATTTAAAGGCTGCCAATGTATGCCCGGACCCCCCAGCGCCCCCACTGCCCACACCGCCACCACCGCCCACACCGCCCTCACTGCCCTCACCTGCCTATGTACCAGACTGCACCGCCCACACCGCCCTCACTGCCCTCACCTGCCTATGTAACAGACTGCCCCCACCGCCTCCACTGCTCTGTTCAAAGAGTCTTTCGCCGCTGTATTTGTAGGTGTTTCAAGAGGATTTAGAGGCTGCCAATGTATGCCCGGACCTGCCCGCGCACCACCGCACACACCGCCCCCACCGCCCACACCGCCCTCACCTGCCTATGTACCTGACTGACCCCATCGCCTCCACTGCTCTGTTCAAAGAGACTTTCGCCGCTGTATTTGTAGGTGTTTAAAGAGTATATTTAAAGGCTGCCAATGTATGCCCGGACCCCCCCGCGCCCTCACCGCCCACACCGCCCACACCGCCCACACCGCCCCCACCGCCCACACCGCCCACACCGCCCTCACTGCCCTCACCTGCCCCCCACCGCCCACACCGCCCCCACCGCCCTCACCTGCCTATGTACCAGACTGCCCTCATCGCCTCCACTGCTCTGTTCAAAGAGACTTTCGCCGCTGTATTTGTAGGTGTTTAAAGAGTATTTATAGGCTGCCAATGTATGCCCGGACCCCCCCGCGCCCTCACCGCCCACACCGCCCACGCCGCCCCCACCGCCCACACCGCCCTCACCGCCCTCACTGCCCTCACCTGCCCCCCACCGCCCACACCGCCCCCACCGCCCTCACCTGCCTATGTACCAGACTGCCCCCACCGCCTCCACTGCTCTGTTCAAAGAGTCTTTCGCCGCTGTATTTGTAAAGAGTATTTAAAGGCTGCCAATGTATGCCCGGACCCCCCAGCGCCCCCACTGCCCACACCGCCACCACCGCCCACACCGCCCTCACTGCCCTCACCTGCCTATGTACCAAACTGCACCGCCCACACCGCCCTCAGCGCCCTCACTGCCCTCACCTGCCTATGTAACAGACTGCCCCCACCGCCTCCACTGCTCTGTTCAGAGTCTTTCGCCGCTGTGTTTGTAGGTGTTTCAAGAGTATTTAGAGGCTGCCAATGTATGCCCGGACCCCCCCGCGCCCCACCGCACACACCGCCCCCACCTCCCACACCGCCCTCAGCGCCCTCACTGCCCTCACCTGCCTATGTACCAGACTGCCCCCATCGCCTCCACTGCCCTGTTCAAAGAGACTTTCGCCGCTGTATTTGTAGGTGTTTAAAGAGTATTTAAAGGCTGCCAATGTATGCCCGGACCCCCCCGCGCCCTCACCGCCCACACCGCCCACACCGCCCACACCGCCCACACCGCCCCCACCGCCCACACCGCCCTCACCGCCCTCACTGCCCTCACCTGCCCCCCACCGCCCACACCGCCCCCACCGCCCTCACCTGCCTATGTACCAGACTGCCCCCACCGCCTCCACTGCTCTGTTCAAAGAGTCTTTCGCCGCTGTATTTGTAGGTGTTCAAAGAGTATTTAAAGGCTGCCAATGTATGCCCGGACCCCCCAGCGCCCCCACTGCCCACACCGCCACCACCGCCCACACCGCCCTCACTGCCCTCACCTGCCTATGTACCAGACTGCACCGCCCACACCGCCCTCACTGCCCTCACCTGCCTATGTACAGACTGCCCCCATCGCCTCCACTGCCCTGTTCAAAGAGACTTTCGCCGCTGTATTTGTAGGTGTTTAAAGAGTATTTAAAGGCTACCAATGTATGCCCGGACCCCCCCCGCGCCCTCACCGCCCACACCGCCCACACCGCCCACACCGCCCACACCGCCCCCACCGCCCACACCGCCCTCACCGCCCTCACTGCCCTCACCTGCCCCCCACCGCCCACACCGCCCCCACCGCCCTCACCTGCCTATGTACCAGACTGCCCCCACCGCCTCCACTGCTCTGTTCAAAGAGTCTTTCGCCGCTGTATTTGTAGGTGTTCAAAGAGTATTTAAAGGCTGCCAATGTATGCCCGGACCCCCCAACGCCCCCACTGCCCACACCGCCACCACCGCCCACACCGCCCTCACTGCCCTCACCTGCCTATGTACCAGACTGCACCGCCCACACCGCCCTCACTGCCCTCACCTGCCTATGTAACAGACTGCCCCCACCGCCTCCACTGCTCTGTTCAAAGAGTCTTTCGCCGCTGTATTTGTAGGTGTTTCAAGAGGATTTAGAGGCTGCCAATGTATGCCCGGACCTGCCCGCGCACCACCGCACACACACCGCCCTCACCTGCCTATGTACCTGACTGACCCCATCGCCTCCACTGCTCTGTTCAAAGAGACTTTCGCCGCTGTATTTGTAGGTGTTTAAAGAGTATTTAAAGGCTGCCAATGTATGCCCGGACCGCGCCCTCACCGCCCACACCGCCCACACCGCCCCCACCGCCCACACCGCCCACACCGCCCTCACTGCCCTCACCTGCCCCCCACCGCCCACACCGCCCCCACCGCCCACACCGCCCACACCGCCCCACCGCCCTCACCACCTCCAACACCTCGAGCCACCATGTCCACTCCTGTGTTCGGACCGTTCTCATTGCTCCTCGCACCCATCACCTCCACCGCTCTCACCACCCCCACTGCGGCCACCGGTTTCACCACTGCCACCGATCCCAATGCAACGCCTGCACTGCTGTCACTACGCGCACCCGCAACGCCACATTTACTCCTGCGACATGACCACCGCGCCCGCAGCGACGGTAAAGGTGTGTCCACAGTGGCGTCGGTTGTCGATGCGTCCGTCTCCGGTTGCCGACTTGACTTTTGCCTGGCAATGTGGGCATACGTATGTGTATGACGTGTTTCCCTTAGAGTCATCGACCACCGCGCCCGCAGCGACGGTAAAGGTGTGTCCACAGTGGCGTCGGTTGTCGATGCGTCCGTCTTTGGTTGCCGATTTAACTTTTGCTTGGCAATGCAGGCATACGTATGTGTATGTCGTGTCTCCTTTACATTCTTCGACCACCGCGCCCGCAGCGACGGTAAAGGTGTGTCCACAGTGGCGTCGGTTGTCGATGCGTCCGTCTTTGGTTGCCGATTTAACTTTTGCTTGGCAATGCGGGCATACGTATGTGTATGTCGTGTCTCCTTTACATTCGTCGACGACCGTGCCCGCAGCGACGGTAAAGGTGTGTCCACAGTGGCGTCGGTTGTCGATGCGTCCGTCTCTGGTTGCCGATTTAACTTTTGCTTGGCAATGTGGGCATACGTATGTGTATCTCGCGTCTCTGGTACGTTCTTCGACCACCGTGCCCGCAGCGACGGTAAACTGGTGTCCACAGTGACGTCGGTTGTCGATGCGTCCGTTCCTAGTCGACGACTCAACTCGCGCCTGGCAATGGGGACACTCGTAAGTGCAAATCCTGCGCTTAGCATCTGCTGCGACCACGCGCCCGTCTCTCACCTGAAACCGATGGCCGCAGATCTGACGATTATCCACTTTGCCGTCTCGCACCGTGGATCTGACGGCTTCACTGCAAGTGGGGCAATGGTACGTGAAAGGCCCGACATTGGTCAGGAAGGCCCAGCTCTTCGGCCCTGCCCCTTGCTGCATGCTGCGGCAAGTGTCACAACAGAGCAAGCCTTTCGTCTTTGCCGCGCTGATGTCGCCATCGATGCTGCGCTTGGTTGTCGCTTCAATTTTCGCGCCACAGCGACCGCACACGAAGCGACCTTTCTTCCGACATGCCTCGATGTCTTGCCGGACAGCTTCCAGGACGCGTTTCCGTCGTTCCTGCCGCGTCTTCTCGACCCGGCGACGGAGACGATCGCGAGACCGCAGCCCGATGTGTCGGAAGTGCAGTGCTACGCGGCAACCTGCGCAAACACGGTCCCGCTTGGTGCGCCAGCCGTGTGCAGTGTACGCAGATTCCTCAAACCAGTGGGCGCACGTGGTACATTGGCGTTTTTTTGTGCACATGAGGCACGTCGTCTGCCAGACGTGGAAATTCAGAAGCTTGCCGGGGAACGCCTCAGCAGCTTGCCATCTCTGACACCGGCAGCAGCGGTGCGGAGTGCCGCGTTCTCTATATGTTTGCACGCACTCTTTGCAGACCGCCGCATCTGTCCGTTTCCATTGCCCGGCCGTGAATGCTAGCTTTGGACGTTCTGCACGGCATTCACAACACACTCTGGTCTGTATGTATCGTTTGACAATCGTGTTCCAATCCACGTCGTGGCTGCGCCAGTGCTGCAGCAACAGCTTGCGAAAACTTTGGTCGCCCTGCTGAAACAACTCTGCTTCGAAAGCGCGGAGAATGAGCAGATCTTTCCTATTTCGAACCCGCGTCATGGCGATGTAGGCCGTCAGAGCACCGCTTATAGCTTTGTAATTCAGGTCTGCGATAACACCTGTCTCGAGCGTTTGGCCTTGGGCTTGATGCGCAGTCATGGCAAACGCAGGCAGCAGCGGCAGCTGCTTGCGTGTTACTGCCAAGCAAGGGCGCTTGCGACCTTCGTCCAGAAACCATGTTCGTCGCTGAGGTGTGATCGGGTACACGCCCTTGGCAAGTCCCGGCAGCTGAAACGTCGCACCGGGAAACTCGACTAGAACAGCTTTCGGTAACTCATTCCAAACAACCGTACCTGGCTCGGCAGGGACTGCCCCGTCCGTCGCATGCTGCCAGCCCCGGACGTAGCCTTTGCGGCCCTTCAGGAGTTTAAAGTTGCGTTTTCGGTTGACATGATCCGCCAGGAATACCGGCATGCCTTCACATAGCGGCAGCATGCCACAAAGCTCACCGCATTCCCGGTCATGTCGCTGCAGCCACGCTAGCTTCTCCTGTGCTAGATTCGGTTTTTCTCGCACCACAGCCGCTGACGCACGGTCTTGCGCAACAACATAGTGGAGCTCTCGCCCTGCGCGGCCTGCAAAAGCTTCTGCGCGGACTTTGTTCGTGTGACATTTGCGGACGTTTGTAGCGAACACAGACGGCGCGCCAACGAAGTGCCCCAGGAACCGAGGGTCGTCGGGCCCGGTTGCGACAAAGGCGCCGGGAGGCGCGTTCCTCCCGGCATTTCGCACATTCTTCTTTCAAGATCTTTTCCGGTGTAGCACATCGCTTCACTAACGACTGGCAAGTAGCATTGCCGCAGGTTGGCTCTCCGCGAAGCCAACTGCCTGGCACTGTTGTCGGCACACCGTGCAAAAAAGCGTGACTATTAGAGCTGAGTTGCGAGTATCGGAACTCTTCTTGCAGATCTTGCAGCCAGGTGTCTTTCGTGCGTTCACATTCCTTCAGCTCCGTGACACCCTGAAAACCGAATTCAGGTTTCCCCCACACGAGGTCTTGGCCCTGCGCCAAAAGCAGACGTTGTTTCGAGCTGGTTGTGCCCAGCCACTCGTGCGGCAAGCCAGCCACGCAATGGCCTTTCGGTGGGTCCAGCTGCCACAAGTCGCCGACGACGAGCACATTTAGTCCACCGAAGGGGCGATCGTTGTTGCTTGTCGGTGACTGCCTGAAAGGACTGCCTTGGCGCATCAGTTGGCGGCACGCGCGCTCCACGCGTGCCAGCAACTCTAAGCTGACCATACTGATCTCGTCGATGATCAACCATCGCATTTGCAGCAGTCGCTTGGCTAGTTCCAGCGCTTTGGCAAGGGAAGTCTGGTCTGTGGTGCCGCTGCCCCAGGTCAATCCAAAACAATGATGCAGCGTGTCGCCGTCAAGCATGTCGGATGTGACCGCTTGTAGTGCTGTGGTCTGGAAGTGAACGCCAGCTTGCCAACCCAGGATACCTTCGAACAGCTCGGTGCGCAGTAGCTTGATGGCGTGCGTTTTTCCAGTTCCAATTCCGCTAGCCATGCATGGACTGCCTCGATGGTAGCCTGCGTGCCACGCGGGCGCGTAGACGCGTGTCGTTGCCCGGGCTGCTGTTCGGCTCCGGTTTGCGCAGTTTCTTTGCGTCGGGCCTCGCGTAAAGTGGCTTCAACGTCTAAACGCTCTTCACTACGCAATTTAGTCAATGTGGATGTTTCTGCACGTGCCTTCGTGCTTTTGTTGGTCGTCCACGTGCGTTCGAGGTCTTCATAGTCCTCCTCCAACGCTGCTTTCGCACCCTTGTTTGGCGCCCGCGTACGTAGCGTTGCACGGAAGTTCGTGGCATCTACGCAGGCACCAGCGGTGTCCGCGTCATCGTTGTCGCTGTTTTCCGCGTCCTGCACGACGCTGCGCACGCGATAGACCGACAAGAAGTTGCCCACGTGCCTCTTCGTCTCCTGGCAGGGTAGGGCTTGCAGCCACCATGTTTCGTGATTGTCTAGTAGGTCTGCCACATGCGGAACATCTGTATCGGCGTTGTTCGGCAACCCCGTCCATGCACGGAAATACACCAAGCATAGTCTCGAATTGCTTTCTACGCTGTCTTGGTTGTACCGGGGAATAGGACAGTGGCCGAATGTCGGGCAACGTGGCCGGCGTCGTGGACGCAATAGCCAAGCTGCGCGTATGCGGACGTTGACTGGCGAATCTTCGAAAGGCAGGACGTCTTTCGGCAGGTCGGACCGCAGACGCGTATCTTGTCCTGGAATTAATCGTACTGCTTTATCGCTGTTTGCCTGCAGTTTGACTTCTCCTGCGGATGTCAGTTCCACGTCCCACGCTTGCCGAGGTTTCGACGACCACTCCTGCCAGGTTCGTGGCGCCCTGGTCGGAACGACTTCCCAGCGCAACTGGAACTCGTAAGGCGACAGGTACCAGCAAGCACTGTCACGCGGTCGCCGAGCATAGAACTCTGCATGATCTCGTTCGGCGACTTGGCGCTGCCTCGGTGCTTGAACTTTCTTTCCCAATGCTGTGGCAGTGATGCGACGCGGTTTGTCCGTGCTGCCTGTCAGGCTGGTTTCGGCGTAGCGCAAATAATCTTGTCCGGGAAATCTCACGAACTGTGTGGTGCAGATTCTTTCCGCGCAGGCGGCGTCGTTCTGTTGGAAGAAGGCTCGTAAGTTAGTACACTCAGCCTGTCCACGCACCACACCTTTACAGTAGGCATCGGACATAAAACGTGTCATATGTCGCTTACCTTGGTATTCCAGACCGCGTGCTTGCGTCTGGGCGGCCAAACGTTCGTGTCCTTTTTGCAGTTCGCGCAGTTCTCCGAACGCCATTGGCTGTGTTTTAGCACAGTAGTCGCAACAGTACCCCGTTTGCGCATCTTGCGCCCGTTGTGCGCTGGCGATGACGACCTTCACCTGGCCAGGCTCCAGTGGGCTTGCACAGAGTGCGCATGCGTACAGCAGACGATATGGTAGCTGCACGTCACAGTTGGAACGCACGAAGGCCAAGAGCGCTGGATGCGTGCCATTCAGATACCCGTCGTCGCGTGGGCCGTGCAAGGAACACAAAGCGTTGCGCCGTCCGGAGGTCGGCAAGTCCATGGCCTTCAAACGGCAAGGACACATCACGGCGGACTCATCGCTGATCTCGTTCGTCTTGGGGTAGTTGTGTTTGCACACCTTTGGATTGTCTGGTTTACAACAGCCCGACTGCGGCTTTCTCTCCCCAGTTGCTTCGTCTGGCAAATGCACATGGTGCTGCTTCAGGACTTGCAAACGAAACACATCGTCCCGCAGGTAGGCGTCCGCCCAACGGTTGGCTTCGGTCTGCTCGTCTTCGTCAGCCATGACTGTGGACTGGTAGCTCGGTCGATTAATTAAGTGCGTCTCGGTTTTGTATTCGGGCCACCGCGCCTCCGCGTCGTGCAAGATGCGTTCAAGCTCCGCAGGCTCGCGACCGTACACGCACCGTCGGACGTGTTCGTTGTAGCGCAGATACTCTTCACGCAGTTCCTCCGCTTTGCTTTCGGCAACGGCAAAGATCTCCTGCAAGCTACCGTGTTGATGTAGGCACTGAACAAACAATTGGGCGTGACCGTGCGGCGAACCGGCGGACTTTTGGAATTCGATCGCCACATACGCCGCATCGCAGCGGCCGAACACGCCGCCCAATGCGCTTGCGTTGCTGCCGTCGACGTCTTGGCAAGGAGTTGCCTGGCAGTTGCAACTGGGGCAGTTCAGGCAGACGTTCAAGCCGAACAGATGTCGCATCACCAGCAGCATCATCATGCGGAAACCGTCCACAGTGGCCAGAGGATCCCGTGCCAAGATTCGTCGACGCTCTTCCCAGTTGGGATGTCGCATCTCGAAGCACTCGACCGGCAACTGTAAATCCAGGTCCTCGGTCAGTCCGGGCCATTGGCGGTCGCCAGCCCGCTGGCCGATGCTGCTCTCCGCCAGGCGGATGGGGTCGCTCTGTCGATGTCGTGCCAGACGAATGTAGAGCAACTGGTGCCCTTCATCCGGCGTCACTGTCACGAAAATTGGAGTGCCGTAGCGCACACGCATGCCTTGGATTTCGAAACGCATGATTCTGCGGGCTTCCTGCGTGCCCGGCACTGCCCGCGCGGTGTGGTTCAAGTTGGCCACAATGCGTCGGGCTGTGGCAGAGAGCCCTGAGGCGTACTTAACCAATGTCATGCTGCCGTTCACGGGCAACTGTCTGTTGTCGGGTGTTGTGTACGTGCCGTGCAGAGCGCGTAAAATTTGAACGGCCGCATCTTCCAAGTCGGCCGACGTTAACCTTTTCCATTCGCCACTATCCTGTAGAACAGGGGTGTCATACGCATAGACACTGCGCGACAAATTCACCGCGGAGCGGAAAAGCACATTCCAGGTTGTGTAGCCGAATGTCCAATCGCGCACAAGTTGACTTTCCACACGTCTCGACATGAGTCGCACCCAGTCGTGCAAAGGCACCTGTGGAGCGTCTGCATCGCGTCGCCATCGCCTGTCTTTGTATGCGCCCCATGTCGGTGGGTCCGGCATGGCTGTGCAGTACTGGAAAAGGTAGGCAAAAGCGACGCCAAAGTACCAGGGCGCAAATTGGTCGATCGGCTGATTGCTGGAGACCACGTCATGTTCCGGCGCAGGGCCATCTTCCTGCTCGCTGTTCTGCTCCATCATATCTTCTGCAGCGACGTCTGCCAGTGCCTGCACGGCTGCCAGTTGTTGAGCCTCGTAGTCCATCGCGTCAACACAGCTCTTTTCCAATACTACGGCGTTGGGTCGCCGCAGGCTCAGTTCAACTGCTGCTTCTTCCACGGTTGCCGGCGCAGCCACGGGGGCCGCAACTTTCTGTTTCTCCACTGGAATTTCTTTCTCTGAGCTAGGCAGGACCGCGACCACTTCCGGAATCACGCCGTCTTCCGGCAGAACCTCCTGCGCTCTTTTGCGCATAGTTGCAATGTCAATGCGACCAAAAGCTGGATGCGCTCGATTGTACGCGCCTTCTATTAGTCGCACGACCACGCGCCGTCGCACGCGGGCCTGATGAATCAGCTTGGTCAAATCCGTCGCATCCAGTTCCTCGTCTTTGGTCTTCAAAAGGACGGACACGAATTTTTGTAAGTCCTCACCCGCCCGAGGCAGTACGGCCCCGCCGTGCGGGTCCACGTTGTGCTCGTACGCACGGAATTGTTGCATCAACTGTTCCCAATCCAAAAGGAACGTGGTGGCATTGCCCCGTGCCCCCTGTCGATGCCTTTGCATATGCGCTCGCTCGTCCAATGTACGACGGTCACGGTATTTCTTTTCCAGACTGAAACAAATCAGGCTGGTCATGCAAGGGCTGGCACACACCAGTTCCATCATCGTAACTCGCTCCTCATAGAGTTCCCTTGGAGCGTAGTACACGACCAAGTCATTCGCTAGTGCCTGTTTGGGCAGCTCGCCGGCTCCCACCGCTGCGCGGCAATGGCGACAAACGGGCATCCAACATTCCTTGCAGGCTGTGTCTAATGTGCACCCTGCCCGACATTGTTTATCCTCAGGGCAGCAAACTATCTCAACAGTCGACTCAGGAAATGTCAACGTGCAAACCCAATCCTGCAAATCCCGCAACATGCTGTCCCTGCGGGTACCTGCTATTTCCTCCACGTAGCGACCCACAAAAACAGCTCGCCCCAAGGTTGCTGCCGTCGCTGCCGGCGATTGACCCAGAAAGCGCACTTCGCCGGTTTCGGTGGGTTGCAGTTCTTGACTGAAACGAATGTCTGCGTTGCTGCCCTTTACAAACGGAAACCTTTGTGCGCAAAGCATGCATATGCGTGTCTCAGGTGGCGCTTGTTCTAAGGAGTCTACCGCCTGCCGCAGACAGCGACGGTCTAGACTGGTGCACGCCAACGGAGCCTTGGATTGGCAATCCACACTGACAGCGAAGCGGTACGCGTCGTATAGCGCCTGCTGTTCCCTCGCGGCCATACGCTGGTCTGCATTTCTTGTTGAAGGTGTAGCAACTGCACGCAAAACCTGTAGTTTGTCAGCCAACTCCTGTAAATCATCGGCATGCGCTAGACGTACGTGCTCGGCTAAATCTGTGTCCCCTGCGCCCGTCCAAGTGCAACCAACGAAGGCGCAATGAGCATCCGGCAGCCGGTAGGCTGCATCGGTCTGTGCACAGTGCTGAGCAGCGCCAGGCAGCGTCACGTGCTTGGCGAATCGTTTCACCACTTTGCCAACAACGACGTCCACGGCTGCACGTGGGTCGCGCGTGGCGTCGGCCGCTTGCACGGCCAGCACAAATTGGTCTTCCTCTAGATCCTCGTCTGCGGCACTGCTCGTTTGTTGGCGATCTATTGGACGTGGAGTGGATTTGCAGCTATACCGTCTGCGCTTGGCCTGGTGGTCCAGCGGCACAGCCACAGGTTGGTCTTGAGTCTGGCAGTCAGGCTTACGTTTTGTTCCACGGCGCTCGTCTGTGACGTCGCCAAGAGCAGTGCTTTGACGTTTCCCCGCAGCCCCGGCGGAGCTTGTTCGACCGGCTTGCACCTGAATAGCCTGGCTAGTGTCGTTTAGTGGTCTCAAGCGTTTCGAGGGCAATGCAGTTTTCGTTCGCGATCTTGTCGGTCCAGAAGGTGCATGTGTGTTGGTGGCCGAGTCATGCGCCGTCGGAGGCAGCGGAGCAACATGCTCATGTCTGTTTGGATGGTTTTCGGTTTCTTGCGCACTGCGCGTTCCTAACCTGCGGCCTGGCCCCTGGGTGCGCACAAAAATATAGCGTCGACACGCCGCTGCGAGTTTTTCGGCAGCATGCGGTTGTGAATCCGAGTTGTACAGAGTTGCTTGCAGCTTAGTCAGCAGCACGTTTCCCAACTGTTTACTATGAGGCCACACAGCCTCGACATCTGCTGCGTCGCGTGATGTGATTGTAAGCGAGCTGCCTCGCGCATGAAAAAAATCCTGCAGCATGTGCTGCAATTCTGCCAGACTCACGCCAGCGGTGGTAACTTGGCTAGCAGACGCAATCACTGGCGATCGGCAGCCTTGCGGCTTGGGATACCGACCTGCAGCCTCGCACGACACTGCGCCTGTTCCTGTTTCCTGCACCACTGCCTGCTCCGGCGACGATACGGTTTCCGCACTAGGGTCTGGCTCCGAGTTTTGTGAATCGCTGCCTGGCAGTGTTAGGTTCGATCGCGCAACCAACGCATCGAAGTGATAGCCGTCTCCACGAGCATCCATATGATTGAAAAGTCTGAGCTGAATCATTGGAGGTTGGGCTTGGGTGCACTCCGGAGCACGCACAATGACAGCTGCTTCGTAGGGATCAATGACAGGGCCATCGAACCTAGTGTATGTCAGGATTGCAAATTGGTTGGACGTGTTGGCCTCCAAGTTTCCGTAGAAACTTAGCAGATGTGTTAGCACGGCAGGACCGTGAATTTCCGGTTGAAGATAAGCATTGGCGTGCTCGCCCTCCGAGAGGTTTTGCACTTCCCCAGAAGCGCCGCGCCACCGCGGTCGCAACGCTGGGTTGCGCGATTGCAGAAGCTGCTGGCGGCAATACCTACAGCCCGCCAACCTAGCATCGGGGTCGTCGACTAATTTTCTAGGCACAAAACCCAAGCCTGCCAACGCAATCGTCAACGAGTCAATCAAGCAATTGTTGCCGTCGCTGCTGGCATGGCACAGTTGCCAATTGTCATCAGCGAGCATGGCTAGGCGTTGCTCGTTGCTCATGCCCCCGACTGTATTCGCTTCGTCTTGAGTGGCAAGACGCAGGAAATGTTCCATCCATGCGATAACTTCGGCATCACTCATGTCCGGATTAACATCCTGCCAACATTCCCATTCGCGGCACCAGTCCTGTTCGCTTAAGCGCCGAAACTCGACTAGGTCTACGCCGACAGACAAGAAGGCTGCTTGCATCGTCAGCGGCATGTCATGCCACCCGAGTACTAACGACGGCACCGTGCCGCCGCCGCCGTGATAGCGAATGCAAGTGTCGGGTATTGCAGCATTGAGCGGCCAGCGGCCATACGCCGCATGCATTCTGGACCTTGCGACCCCTCGCGATGTTTCTGCCGACGCGGACGGCCTCACGCAGTTTATGTCGGCGTGGTCGACCTCGTGTTTTTTGCGTGGGCACGGTCCACGTTGCATGGCAAAGCGGGTAGACCGTTGCCGTCGCACGCTACCCTGACGAGACCGAGCGACCGAAGCTCTCGGCATTTTGAGCTTCATGAAGGATTCCGTCATCACGAAGCAAGCACAAACAACCATGCGAACGCGGATTTAAGCTGCTGCACGCTGTTGGCCTCCACCTCGAACCGAAGCGAGCGAGCGGCAGAAACTGAGGGAGGAGTTCTGCTAGAAGACCGTGCGTGGTGTGCAAATTAGCATGTATCCGGGCATTTCGAGTCGATTTGCCTGCGTCCGCAAGAGGCAGGTGCAGCACCCAGACGTTGCGTCGTGCGCGTTGGCAAGGCGTGGCCACGCAAACGCTGGCCAACGCCTTCTCGCGACACGGCCGGCACATGAGTTGCTGGGGCTCATCCTTGACGGAAAACGGCCCAACTTCTGTGGCGGGCCTTGCTCGGAACATGTTCGGCAATAACTGAAGAACTTCGGTGGGCGAACTTGTTTTCAAAGCAGCCGAGGCATGCCGAGTTCCACTACTGTTACTACAGCTACTCACTAGAATAGGCTTCGCGTAACTGAGCCCACTTCTGCATCTACCTTTGACACTGTCTTTGCCTCGCACATGACTTTGGCGGCTCCAGTTTCTTCGCCGACGTCGCTGCCGCAGCACTTCCACTGGGGCCTGCCGCTGCTCGCATACTGACAACGGGCTGTCCCCGCTGATCCGGCAGCGCGTCCTGGCGGGACCTACCTGATGTGCATTCTGTTTTTTCTGCCAAGGATGTTTCCGTTCGTCCCCGAACACTGGCTTCGGGACACCAGCGCTCCCTGCGACTTTTAAGGTGAAGTCGATCAAACCATCAGCTTCAGGAAAGCTGAGTAAACCGCCAGCTGGTGCTGGGTTCGACATACCGCGCTGTTGCGATCTGATTCAACACTTGAGCCGAGTCTGCGCGCAAAAGAAATATTCACATGTGCTTCACTCAGTTCACACACACACACACGCACACACACACACACACACCCGCCGCGCACACTCTGCCTAAAAAGCCCTCTCCGTTCTTTCTCTTGGCGTTTGTCCACTCAGCTTTCAAAAACTGGCCGACTACGGCCGTAGGCGCACCAACTTCGACCATGTCTAGGGCAATGCTTCCGGCTCGTCTTCATCTTCAGAAGACTCAACACGACGCTTCTTGCGTGCTTCACACGCGGCTGCCTGACCCACGTGCACTACCTCCACAGCTTTGCGTGATGCCGCACGGAGATGCTTACGTTTCCCACCAGCGAGGTTCTGCACCCATCGGTCCAGCGCGGGCAACGCTTCCCGAGCCGACACAAGACCGCCTGCAGCCGCTTCCATGCGAGCCCGATAGTTCTGATCCTGCTGCACCCTCTTCTCGTGCTGGCTGTCAGTCCAGAGAGACACCGGTCCCAACTCTTCCTGCAGGTGTGCAATCACATCGTCCCGCACATCTGTGCTACGGAAGCGCACATCAATGGCCGTCGTCTCATCAGGCCCTGGCAACATGACCTTGTAAATCTCCGAAAAGAACTCGCCCATGCTGTGCTTCAAACGCTGCTTGGCAGCCTCTACCGAAGCAATGTCCAGCGGGCGTGTCAGATGCACAGTGATCGTGAACCCCTTGTCGACAAGCTCTGCAGTTTCAGCAAACGCAGTAGAAGCCCGAGAAGATGGACCGACCGGTGTCACGCTCTCGGCTTCGCCTAGACCGCGCAAATGTTGCAGTACCTTGGGTTCGTGTCTAGCCACGCACATTTGCCAAACCCTGCCTTGCCGCCTTCCTTCGACAAAAGCGAACAGTGTCTGAGCACCCCGCACCCTCATTCTTCAAGAAGAACTTGATGCGGTCGGGGCCCGCAGCAGTGACGCGGTCCACACACGCAACATCTTCTGCTGAAAGCGCCGTCTTCAACCGATTGTAAGCACACTGGGCCCCTGCACGGCCTTTGTGCTGGTCCAAGCGCTCGTTCATCTTGAAGATCACCCACATAACGCCTCGGCTGCCTCGGCTCTTGTGAAATGATATCACCGACATCTCCTGCTTACCCTCTTCCCGCTTGCTGCAAGAAAGACGCAGCTTTCCACACTGGCTCTGCCCAGAACACTGCTATACGAACAGCTCTTGAAGCCAAACCGAGACTGGCGCACGCTGGCGCGCATGCAGCTCCATGCTGTGTGCGCAAATCCATGCCGAAGCATTTTAACGGTGCTTGCACGAGAACACTGATCAGCGGTCCTCCTGCCTTCTTTTTGCGTCTCGCTCGCATTTGCACGTCCGTACGCGCCAACACCATTACTAGAAGAGTACTCCACCCCTCTCTGCCTGGTCCGATTGCCAAGCGGCCCGTCTATCCTACCAACTCGTTGCACGCATACAGCCCCGACTTTGTTCCTGCTCACACAACGCTACAGGGCCAACCTTTCACATCGAGCTCCAGGCAAGGAATTTAAAAACCGCCCTTGTCTGCGCAAGGACAAAGGCCACACTCTTTGTGCACCAGCGGATGCGAACACCATGCCATCCTACTGTGGCCGCTTACACAAAGCGAGCCAGGCCAGTTACTAACACGTCCAATCATGACCGTAAGGACTTTCTCCTGCCCCGCAGCCTGAACCTCGCACGTCTGCACGGAGAACCACTGGCACTGGCTGCTATCTATGCGCTTGCCTTGTCGCTACGCTCACTTGCGAGCATCCTCGCCTGGAACCACCGCCGTCTGTTCGATCACACCCCGCGATGCAAGGCCGAGCGCACGCACGAAGGACTGATCATAGAGCCAAAGCTTCGCCTCTTGTCCTGAACTCACCACCAAGCACCGTCAGTTTACGCACAGCCCTGAACCCACTGCACTGCTTGCCTCCGAGACCTGGCTTCGCTGTTGCGAACAGCACCAGTAAGTCGACGTCGTTGTCCAGCGCCGCGTCTTCGGCGTTGTACCCCAGTGCCACACATGACACGTAGTGGCCGCGAGAGTCAACAAGACGAAAACTTCGCATTGGTCGGTCCGCTGCAGACTGCGTCAAATCTCCCAGACCTCGCACAACTCCGCGAACCTCGGTTCCGTTCTCTATCGTCAGCTGCTGCCGGGCTGCTTTTCCACTTCGCGCTGCTACATACGACTCCTTGCAGACCAAGTTCCGACACGAGAATCGGAAGCGAGCACGAGCGCAGCAAGGTGAGGTTTGTCACGGCTGGCAAAGCTGCCCACGGCACCGCGTCCGCATTTCTAGGCCCTAGCGATTCCACTCGGGTCGACCTGCCCACCTTCAGCATTTTCAAAGCATGGTACGAATGTCCAGGAGACGCAATGTTGGCCTGAGTAAGCCGAAAGCCGGCGAACAGTGGCCCGTTCTCTGCAGAGTCCGCCGCCGCAATAGCCCTGTCCAACTCCCCGGCAAGTCTGGAAGCATCGTTGCCCCAAACCTCCACAGCGATCACCCCCGTTGCGTCCGCAAGAAGGAAAGACAGAACTGAGACAGAATCACCGGCTGCTCGATCAACCTGACGAACATCCTCCACACGCACCACGACGCCCTCAACAACAATGGCGGCTGCCGGGCAAGTCTCCATCCGCTGCACCTGAAAAACATCATGAAGACTTGTATTACTGAACAACTTGCGTGCAATACTGCCGGCCATCGTTCCCCTCCTTTTTTCTAATCGACTCTACCAGCCAAACCCCCACCTCCATGATTTGCACAGCCTGGGGACTGACACGCTTGGCCCCTTCTGACGCGCGCCGCTTGACAGGGGACGCTTTCGGTGGGGCAGCCCTTGATGTCGCGGACTCAGGGCAGACGACATTTTCCACCATGTCATAGTAAGACCGCTTGAGCCAGGCGCGTTTGCCGCGCTCCTCCAAAGCAGGCGGAAGGTTCGCCTTGCTCTTCTCTGTTTGCCAACCATCTTCGACTTTTTTCGAGATGGATGCTGCGTGTTTTGCATCAACCATGGCTGCCTTGCTGCACTCCGCATGTTTCATGCATCAGTACCCTCTTCCTCTTCTTGCCTGCAAAAAAATTTTCCAGCACATCCAAGGCACCAACCTCTGCGCTTTTGCCTGCTCTGCCAGCGGCAACTCTGCCACGACAACTAGTGGGCACCACACAAAGTTGCCCTCCGTTTCGGCGTCCTGCATGATGCGCGTCCATTGGTCCGCCACACTGCTCTTTTCGATCTCAGCTACGAGCTCTGCATCTGCCCGCGCCCAGTCCGGCACGTCGATTGTCAGCTCTGAGATTTTGCGTACAGCAACGACAGCTTTTGCGGCTGGAAGAGCCATGAGGTCTTTCATTTTGTCAGCTGGCACGCGGTGCTTGACAGAATCTGTCAAAACACTTACCTCCTTCTCCTTCTCCGCCAGCTCCTCCCTGGCCTTCATGTCGCCCGTAACACGGTTTGGCCCCTCTCTTCCCTGGTCTCAGTCCTCCTTCTCCTTCTCCGCCAGCTGGTCCCCGGCCTTCATCTCCTCCTCCGCAAGTCCTGTCTCCTCTTTTGCCGGAGCTTCCTGATCCATGTGTGCCGGGCTGTCAACGTTCTCTGCGGCTTTTGTTTTCCCGGTCTCCTCCTGCATAAATGTCAAGCTGTCGGCCATGTTGCCCCACCCACGAAAACACGCGGAAAAGCTTTGCGCTAGTCTGTTACCTCCAACGGCTCCTTGAGCTTTCGAATCTTCACAGCAACATGACTACAAACGTCAGCCCGTAGGGCGCTAGCAAGAAGCCACTGCGCCGCAACTGTGCACACACACTTTCACACACTTTCCCTACCTTTTCTCGACTTTCTGCAACAGCCTCCAACTCAGCTTTTGCTGTATGGCGAGCGGCCATCGCCTCGGCATGATTTGTTTTCAACTCGACACTGTTGCCGCGAAACTCTAAGATACTTCACATGCACCGGCACGACCTCTGGCCTGCTGAATTCAACTTTGAGCGTGGCACGACTGTAGCCCAACACCGTTTCTCACCTTCTAGACAGCAGCACTTTGCAAAGCTCTTTTCCGTAATGGAGTACTGTTTCCTCGCAGGACACGCGCCTCACGTGCGAGGGCGTGCCTCGCCCGACCTTCACCAGTCACTATAGTTCCCACACAGCTCTACACGCTGCTTGCCCCATGTGCCTCATGGCACAGGACCAGCACAGGAGCCTCGCGCGGACGCTAGCACTCCCTGCTCGATGTCTGCCCGCGACATGCTCCGTTGGAGCCCCACCTGTGGGACGGGCG